AAAAGATGTTAATTTCTAAACAGATACAAATAATTATAAATTTTAATTGGATTTTAACTTCATTATGGAATTAAGGATAAGTTTTGTTTGAATGAGGTCCAAGCAAAACATAATGACATAATCTACTACAAAATAAGAATACACTACTTTAGAAGTTGAATTCAAATATGATTGGATGAGTGGAATCATTGAAAAACTATGTTGATTTCTACCATTCAAGGATCATATAGAAATCTTTGTGACTTCGAGAATATACTTAATCAAGCTAAGAGACTCTATGTCACGAAAGAACACCATTCATATTCACCAAGATATTCAACTATACTTAGAGTAAAGTTAAGTATAGAGATGATAGTATTCACAGAATTCACTCAAATTAAATTTTGACAGATCCATTGATAAAGTCATTCTTTTGAGCTAAGTATGAATGGTCACACTTCAGCTATAAGACTTTATTATTCTAGAAATTGATTTTTGATTTGGATTTAGTATTTGGATATTGGAACATTATAACAACAACTATTAGATAATGTTATGATATATTGGGATATAGTCATCACATTAATACTTGTTGTGTTATATATTAACATGTTTAATTCATGAATAATGTTATTATTCTAAAAGTTCATAGTCGGTTGTAATTGTGGGAGCAATTATGAAGTAAGACTAATATGAATTGGATTGGTTGACTCTCACTAGATGAAAGTAGGCAAGTGGTTGTAACCAAGTTTCATAGGTACTTGTCAGAGAACTAGTATTGAACTGACCCACATCAAGATCATCTCATGGATCGTTTTCTTGAATTATACTTGATTAAAAGGTACCATCTTTGTATCCTTAACACCTAAGATACATAGTGGGACTTGAGCGTAGGGAGTACTATGCTTCGATATGGTCAAATGTTGTTCCTTGACCAGGCAGTTATAAAAGCCATTTTCAGGTATGGTGTGAACTATGCAAGAGGCTTATGTAGTCAAGATGGGATTTGTTCATCTTATGTGTTTAGAGTTAGACATCTAAGGCGCCTTACAAAAAGTTGAACGACTATTGAGATTGATCGCGATCCGAATCTCATGTTTAACATGATGTCTGTAGCAAATGGATAACTGATAAACTTACCTCATACACCAATTGTAGCTTTGAGCTTTTTGGGAATTGGGCGTTGATAGAATGGCACAAAAAGTCGTATGGTCTTTGGGGCAGTGAAATGTTGCTAGACGTTCACCACTGTCTATATCAGTCTAATATGAGTATTACGCAAGTGGGAGATTGAAAGGTCTTGTATGCTCAAGAGTTATATTAAAGTGATATTGCTAAATAACATATGATACTAATGGGTCATACTAACAACAACTTGATACAATTGATTATTTA